GCTTTCGTAATTATTATCCCTCCACCACCTAAAAATTTACAGGCAAAGAGCTATATGGACTATGTAAGTAAAGAAGGATGGGAAAGTACCTGAACGCCAGTATTTCTACAAACTTCGAATCAATCTGAGACAGAACACAGATAATTTTTTTTTTTAAATAAAAAAGAAGAAAAAAAAAAAAAGAAAAAAAGGAGATAAAAAAGTTCACAAGTAATCAGGCATCACTGATGTTTTACACTTGAACAAATATGATGCAAGCTGAAATTTGTCTATACCGCAGTTTCTTCTTTTACTTCTCTGACTGCAGCATCACAAATATCTTCACCCTGTGAACATATATGTTACTGCAAAAAACCTAGAAGCAGTTTCTTATTTGATAATTTTTTTCTTGATTTATGGCACACGAAAAAAAAAAACTAGCTGATATCCACCTCGTCAACAACTCCTGTGGGAATTTTCCACACTCCTGATCCACGAAAATGTCCGCTCTTTTCTTGAACTACAAGAACCTGTATAGATATTGTCAGATGATCTAATAAGCACATTGATTTTGTATACATAGCCGGATAAATAACTTAACAAGCATGAAGAAGGATTGCATTATGTCAGCCTGTAGTAAATCAGCATGAAAACTCCGGAAAAAATAATAACTTGATTTCAGGAGAGGTTTTTCTCTATATCTCAAAACAAAACTGCCTTTATTCATTCTTCTTCTTTCCAAAATGGTTTAATCATGAGGAAAAAGTATCCAAAATGGAAGTCTGTCCAACCTCAACCTAAAAATTGTTTACAAGGCAACAAATAGAACACAAACTACCCAATCATTCCTGCACATTGTAAATGAAAAAGGTTTCAAAGGGGTATTTGTAACTTTGAAACATTCTTGTTTCTTTTTTCAGATTAAGCATCAACCTGAAGTTTGGTCTTAACCCAAAAACTTGAAGGCACCCAAACAATAAAAGCTAAACGTGGAAGGAAGAAAAACTTACTTCATTCTTCTCATTCAATACAAAAGCACCGATGCCCACACGATGTGATGCATTAGCTGGCAGAGTATTGGGAGTACTCGGAAGCCAGCTCACCAGCATCAAGTAATTAGGCTCTGCATGGTGAAAATAGAATCCTTCCTGTAACATAACATGTTCCATAAAATAGATTTCGCACATACAGAGATACAGCTTTGCCATGTTTCTTTGCTCCCTACAATAGACAATTATACCAAACATTAAAACGAGTCGTTCACTAACCTTAACAGTGGGTTCAATCAGATTAGCAAGCTCAATAGGTAACTTAATCCAGATACCACGCTTTCCCTGGCATTAACATCCACACACAACTCAGTGTGATGATATGATTGCTCAGACGAATGTAAGGGAAGTTTGCGAACTCCATAAAGAGGTTAATCTCAACTTCTGGCTTATCATTTTCAATTAAAGTTTAATAACTCTTCATGTAGATTACACAGGAAAAACTAAGATCATAACAATTCACCAAAAACTAAAACACAAAAGAACTAATTGGCTTTGCCCAAAATGAAATTAAGCATCTTTTTTGTTTTCCCCACCTGCCGCCGCCAGTGGGAAAGCGATGTTCTGAGTAAGGGAACGTAAGAGGCGGCGTCCAGGGGTCCATTGGTCATTTCCACTATCACTCCTCCATGGTCGTCGTTCACGGCCTCCAGCACTCCGCCGTCGATCTGCTGAGCCGGCAGCGCCGGCGAAGGTAACGAAGTCATCGGCGATCTGACATTCAACAAAACCCCAAACCTACCCTCGCTCAGTCTCTCTGCAACAACCAAATCGACCAGGAAAAATGAAAAAAATAAAAATAAATAAATCTCGTGTTTGGTTAACCTAGGATACGAACCTCTTAGTGAAAATAAATAAATAAATAAAATTGACGAGTAGTTCATAATATTTAGGACCTCGCGAAGGGGAAAATGGCTGCAACGAGGCGGAAGAAGCTCGGCGGCGGACGGCGGAGAGAGAGTGGTGTCGGCGAGTAGTGGTGGTGGTGGTGGAGGAGATGTGAAGAGTTGGGCGACAAAGAAATCTAATCATTGTAATCATGGCGTTTTTTAATATAAAATATGTAATTGAAATGGCGTTTTCTAATATAATACTATGTAACTGAAAGTGGCGTTTTTCTAAATGGATGGCGACTAATGACTATAACCCACCATAGATATCAACACACGTAACCTCAAACTAGACATGGCCAAAACCCGGCCAAGCCGTCGGGCTCCAAAACACTGACTCGGACCCAACACGAACCTATACTCGTGTCTGGTCAATAGCCCGATTAACTGGGCCGAGTCTGTCTTTTTTTTTTAAGAAAACAATATATATAAAAAAAAGGGCCATCGACCCGACCTGGCCCGGCCCAGACCCACCGAGCCGGGTTATAAGATTGATGACCCTGAAACGGTCGTCTGAATTTGGTCCGGTCCCGGACCCGTGGTCAACGAGTTTGACCGGGCCGGGCGGCCCTTGCCCATATCTACCCCAAATTTTTTCTCTTTCTCTTTTTTTTTTTAAGTTTGATAACATTTAAAGTTGATTAATTGTATTTCAAATGACGGGAAATTAATAAGTTATCTCTCTCTTCATATTAAACCTAAATCTGAACAAAAAAAAAATAAATAAAATTGAAAATAAAAAATAAACTCTATCACCCATCAATTTTGAATTCATATATAAAAATAATTTTGAACTTCTGAAATACATAAGTTGAGACGAACAAAATGAAATGTAATTTATATATATATTTCATAACTGATTCATTAGCAATCGATCGACGCAAAGAAGATAGGCGACATACTTACGTGCATGTTATGTTTTTATAATGATCAACACAATTGATTGTTTTGTAGGAATATGTATTGAAAAACTTACAAAATAGATTTCTAAGGAAGTAGTTATTGTGAAAATTTTACAACCATATCAATTTTTTATCAGTAGTTATAAATTCGACAAATATCTAATTTTTATCACGGGATACTAACATAAGTTGACTGATTTAATTTATAAAAACATATCTTGTTATAAAAGTCATCTTAAAAGTTTTTCAATAACTCATTGCAATAAAGAAATTGGATATTGATTACTAAAAATTGATTTTTTCTTATGTACATATGTTGCGTAATTTTTTTTTAGATCGATTATCACGAACTAATTATAAAAAATTAATAATGCGTATTTC